AGCAGGGACACAAACCAGCAACTATACGGGATTTCAGCACCAGCACAAAGAGAATTAGCCTGTTAAACCACTATGCTGGTCCCATCTTGAATATTCTCACTCTGTGACTGCCTGAATCCATAAATGTGAAGCCTACAAATACAGACACCTGACTGTATACAGTCAGACATGGGAGCAAGAACTAGCCGCAGCAGTGAAGACGCTACTTATAACGCTCACACCCCCTGCAGGAGTACCTGGTTTAAATCCTGGATCCTTGATGCAGTGCGGCTGCTGGCAGCGCCCTCCCCGCTTCCCTTTATCCCTTCCCCAGATATAAGGAAAAGAAAAAAAAACAAAAAACAAAACAAAAAACTGGAAGCAATTGTTTCATCTACTTTTCCCCATACCTTGACCCCTCCTACCCTAATTAGTGGTCCACATAGGCATACATCCTTCTCAACTATGTAAACATCATCAAGAATAAAATAAGTTTATTTATATATATATATATATTTTTTTTTTTAAAGCAAATTCTGACTTTTCTGGTTCTAATATAGCTTCCTGCTAATGTGCACTTTGAAAAGCAACAGATAATAGCCCGGGCACTTGATCTCTGCTATCCATGTAGGAGATCTGAACTGCCAGGCTTCTGGCTTTGGCTGGGGAATGAACCAATTGAGCAATCAGCTGTCTGTCTCACAAAAACTTTAAAAATTAGAAAATAAGTAAATAAGATTTGTAAAAGTCAAAATATAGTAAGCATGAATGAATTCTTAGGCAGGTAAGCCACAGTAACACTTCAGAAATATCCAATGGAAAACAAAGCAACAATGGACTTTAAGAAATTCTTATCATGCTCTCCAAAACATGCTTTACTGAATTCTAGTTCACAGTAAGCTAGCTACATTTGAAATCATGAATTCTAATGAAAATTTTCATAACAAAAATGGTTATATTAAAAGCATCAAACAAGTATGATAAAGATTTCAGTCTCTGTACTAAAAAAATCTAGCAATGACCACATTCAAAATTAAGTATATCATCAGATCCAATGCATGAAAATGTACCATCATGGCAACAACCCAGGTAACACTTTTCAACAGTGGCATTTACTATGTTGGCAACTTAGTCATAACCATCTTCAAACAGTAAACTGTCCTCAGACTCAACAAGAATATTACTAATTCCTCATTTTAAGCGATTTCGCCACAATCTTGCCTTGCAGTATCCCACTAGCTTTTAACTCACCTATATTATTTGTGAAGTGTCACTTTAGAAAACCTCAAGCCTACATCCATCTGTACAACTCCTCCCTCACAAATCCTTTGGAGATTAGACTTGCTGTTCTTGTTTTCTCCAAGTCCTTATTTTCTCAGTTGGTGGTAGGCCAGAATAATGACCCACAGTGGTATTTTTTAAAGTCTGTAAAATTAAGTTTTTAATGTTACAGCAATGTCTCTGCAGCTTTTGACTCAAGGGTTACAGCAGTAAGAAATCTCCAGCTGAAAACAAAAGCAGGAGAGTGCACATTCTACATCCGCCTGCCTCTGGATGCACATCATGTTGCTGTGCGTAAGACGACCACAGTGTCTCTGGATGTGAACCTGAAACCTCGATTCTGTAATATCTGCTGCCTTGCTGCACTGCTGATAGAACCAGCTTCACAGACCTTTGGCTGCCTGTGTCAGCTAAATGCAAATGATCCTTTTCTTTTGTTAATGCTGTTTATTTTATCTTTGTTTCCCTCTACATTATTTAAAAATTTTTGAAACAATTTCAAAATCACAAGGAAAAGTCTGAAGTGTGGTCAAATAATCACCTTTTTGAACTGTTTCAATCCAAGGTGTGAACAAGATGTCTCGACATTCACGATATTTCTGAGTATTGCACACATTCTCTTACATGAACACAATACAATCACTGAAATTTAGAAATTAACATGGATACATTATTATTAGGTAATTTTACACCCCAATCAATTTTTTCCAGCACCCCAACAAGAAAAAGGAGCTAGTTCAGGCCTAAAGGCCTAACTAACTCCATTCTTGATCCTGATACTTTCAAGATTATGGGCCAGTTTGTGTTCCCCAATATGGGTTTGTCTAACAGTTCCACCTCATGATGAGATTCAGATTATGGAGTTTTGGATGACTAACAGAGGTGATGCTCCACTGGTGGAAGGCGCTGTGGTTTGTACTATTATTGAAAACCTTCCCTTTGATCAGCCACTAGGCTTTTCCATAGTCATTTACTCTTTCCCATCTTGTGGTTAATATGCTGTGGGGAGATTTTCTGAAATGGTGTAAACTGGATTTTAGCTACACTGGTAAGCAATAAGCATCTAGTGGGTCACATTCGATGAAGTCAGCACCAGTTATTAAATACTGAGTAATCACCCCAGAGAAAATACAGTGGCAGATATCTGAGTGCTTCTGGTCACAGTATTTTGTCAGTATTTTTGCCCCCGTGAGTACCCACACTGGCTGGCCTCAGGTAACATCTTTTGAATTGTTCCAGAAAGATTGAAAGGGATGACCAATACAGAACCTGGTTTCACATGTGTTTGTTTAAAGACACCTGATTTAGTGTGCATTATGGATTCATTAACACTGAACTCATGGCAATGGCTCTGTGATAGAAGCCTTGATGAGGCCCATTCAACACATGCATTTTCTCCAGAGTGGACATCACAACTTTCTGTACTTAAAACACAGTTCTTTCAGCACTTTCAGCAGTATGCTGGGTGGTGGAGGTGCATCTTAAAGTCAATCCACAACAAACTGCATAGTATTTTTTTTTTTAAATTCAATAAGCAAAATGCAAAAAGGACACTCTATAGAAGAACAGAAAAAGAAGGCACAGCATCACTGTGTTTGACCTCAGCTAGGAACATGTCAGGTGACCGGAATTTTTCATGTCTGAGAATGGCTGCAAAAATTTCTCAAGTTCTGAGTCACAAACATTTCAGTGGGTAAGGAAATTTGAAAAAATACAGAAGCTGACAAGTAGGACTGACTGTAAATATGATGTTCCAGACTAACATTCACACTTTGTTATTCTAATATATGTGTGTATATGTGTATTCACTGGTTACATTATAATCTGTTCGTATCAATATGAATTTTGATATTTAAATTGTCCCATATCTGGCCAGTGGAAGCCCTTCAAGCTGGCTTCAGTATCTATCTTGAATATTTCCTTATATTCTGGCACAAAAAGCTGTAATAGCTGTGGGGGCAGGTACTGAGCATAGTGGGTAACACTGTGATTAAGAATGAGGCACGCACATTCCACATTGGTTTGCTGTGCTTAAGTCCTAGCTCCACTCCTGATGCTGGCTTCCTGTTAATGTGCACCACAGACAATGGTAGCTGTGGTTCCAGCGCTCTGGTCCTACTACCATGCTGTTGTTGTGGGCATTTAGGGAGTGAATCAAAGGATGAAGATCTCTGCTCTGTCTGTCTGCCTCTCAAATAACTAAGTTTTTAAATTTTAAAAAATTAAAAGAAGTTTAAAGTTCATCTTGTACCTTCCCTGGACCAGGCCTGCAACAAGCCATTTTGTCCAAGAAGTCATGGTTCCTTTCAGTGGAGAAGTATATTTAGAAAATAAGAACTGGAAATTGGTTTGCTCACTGCTACAAAACATACATATGTACTACAATTATATCTGTTATTATTTATCACATGTACATTTACATTTATAGATACACGTGCATGTTAAAAACCATAATTTCACACCACTATCGTCTATTTCCAATACCACAGCATTCAGCTACACATCTTTCCCCCTCTGTCACACTGGTAACTGTCTTCTCAGACAGAAACCAGCATTCATTACCTTGAACACATCCACTTATTAGAACAACCCTGACGAGTTAACCAGTCTGCTACTGTGGGGCCATATTCTCTGCAGTCTGCCCTGTCCACCACACTTTCCTTGGCTCTGACATTGGTACCAAATCAGCCTTCTGGGGAATGAATGCTCTGTTCATCACATTTGGGCTTTAAATTCCTCTAATGAATGACTTTCCCAACCTGTGCTCTGGGCCCCTGTGAGTACCCACATTGGCAATCATGATCCTACAGGTAAGCTAAGGATTTCCAAACTGTGAGAAATCAAAATACGGTGGTTCAAGTATGACATAAATGTCCCTCGAATTTTAAGAAAATTCTCCATATTTCTCATAATTTTCCTTAAGTAATTAATTCTGCTTGCTTTCAGTATTCACTATTTAAATCTCTATCAACACATTTTCATGCTCAGTGGAATACTAGTTACAATAGCTGACTGCACATATATTTTCATCAGCTTTAACTCTAAATGGGTCGTTTTGAGAGTGGTGAGGTTATGTTCTAATGACTGGCAAGTACAATAATGGCCGTGTTAACATAAGAGGGATAAATGTAACTTTGTCATTGCTAAACTTTTTCCTCACTATTGTTTCCATTTAAAAAACAAACAAGCCCTCAGGTTGCCAAGGAGATCTTACTTTTTCTCTCCTAGGAAGAAAGTAGCCCAGATTATTTTCATTTTCTTTATACTTTTAGGAAAATGACACACTTTCCACAAATTTACATAAATATCTGTGCAGAATGACTGTGGCCATCCTTTGCTTTTCTTCTGGAGGACCGAAGACAGGGCTAAGACCCAGGGCTACGCTTGCTCCTCACACACCCACGCCTGCACCCAGCCTGCAGTGGCCCTGGAAGAGGCATTCCTGACAGGAGATCACAAGCTCCTCAGCAGCAAGCACCACGCCCACTTGCTGCCCTGCCTGCATCTCCAGGCTCATGAGCAACAGCACAGACAAATAACCGACAACACTGACAAAATGGTTGGAACATGCTGTTCCTTCATTTCCATCCCTTTGTATTTACAGATAGCTCTCCAAGCATCTCATTTTAGTAATAATCAATTAAACCTCCTCAATATGAAATTGGGTCTTTTCCCCTGAGACATGGTAAACAGATAAGAATAGCCTTCAATTATTTCTGGAATAAAAGACAACACACTACCTCTGCACTCGGTACACTCGAGTCCAGGGAGGCACGAGGGCGAGGATCCGAGCCACCAACTCTATTAGGTCACTGGGAGAATAACTCTTGTATCTGCCTGACTTCCAAAGCTCATACAGCCCAGTTCCACGGATCACCAGAGTAGGGTAGAGTTTCAAGCCATCAGGACGAAAAGCAGGGTTCTCAAAAAACTCCTGTAAACAAAGAACAGAAAATCCCTCTCCATCAATCACACAGATTACCCATGGTGCAGTCCTAATCCTGAGCCAGCTTTGCTGGCAACCCCAGCAGGCCCAGCTACTTTTTCTGTCAAAGGAAAGGTACATTGATAGAACACAGCTAACTACACAGCCTCGGTGGAACACCGCAAGGCCTTCCGTAATCCTGCCCGTCTGTTGGTGCCCTCTCATCCTTTGCATCCATCACCACCTTGCCTACCTCCTTATGCAAAGGCAACTTCTTTAGCCTGGAAACTTCCTATACCAACCCAATCTGTAGCTCTCAGCTTGAATGCTACTTTTTCAGAGAGGCCGGCCTTCCAGATTTTCAAATACAACTTGTTTCACTCTAAAAACATGTCACCATTGGCAGTAGCATCTGCCAGCATGAGTGTGGGCTGGATTGAGTTAGGCCTCAATGTCCATTGATGTGTAAGAGATTCTGAACAGGATGTGGGACAGACTGGACCAGTCAGCTGCACATACTGGCAAGCTCAAGAACCGGAGCTGGAGGCAGGTTTGGTGGGGTCACTGGGGGTGACTCGAAATAGGCCACAGCTCCGACTAGTTATATGTGTCGGCAGAAAGCATAATGGGCTGGGCCGCAGCATCCATTGCTTTACATAGGAGATGGGGCTGGAGATAGAACTGATCCAGCAATTGCAACTATGGGAGCTAGATTAGAAATGAAGCAGCTGGAAGATGAACTGGCCACCCATATAAGATGCCAGAGCTGCAGATGGATGATTGGCTGGATAAGCCTCCACAATGGCCCCCAAAACCCTTTTTCTTTTAATTTTACTTTTCCACAAACTTTTTGAAGTATATTCCTATTTCCTCCTTAATATGATCACACAATTTATTCAATGTTTGCTTTCACCTCCATACCATATACTCCCTTAATAACAGAATAAATTAATTGGTGGAACTTTTTTCTAAAATTTGTGACAGGTCAGTGTTGTGACACATCAAGTTAAGCCGCTGTCTCCCATTTCAGTGTCAGTTCACATACTTGCTGCTCCATTTCTAACCCAATTCTTTGCTAATGTGCCTGGAGAAACAGCGGAAGCTGGCCCAAGTGCTTCGAGCTCCATACCCATGTAGGAGACACAGGTGGAATCCCAGGCTCCTGGGTTGAGCCTGGGCCAGCCCCAGCTGTTACAGTCATTTTTGGAGTCCCCAGAGGATAAATGATTCATCTTGGTATTTCTCTCTATATACATAACTCTGATTTTAACATAAACAAATAAACAAGCAAATTCTGAAAATAGGAGTAATGGGAACGGCACTGTGGAATAGTGGGTAGAGCTATCATCTGTAATGCTGGTATCCTATCTGGGCATTAGTTTGAGCCCTGGCTGCTCCACTTCCAATCCATCTACTTGCTGTTGTGCCTAGTGAAGCAGCAGGTGCCCAAGTGCTTGTGTCCCTGCACCCATGCTGGAGACCTGGCAGAAGCTCTGGACTCCTGATTCTACCTGGCCCATCCTCTACTATGTGGACATTTCTAGAGTGAACCAGTGAATAGGAAGATCTCCCTCTCTCTCTGCTTTCCAAAGAAACAAACGAAAAATTTTAAAGTTATGACAGAAATAAAGAAAATCAAAAGAAAAAAAGTTGTCTGATGATCACCTGTCTTTTTTGAGCCTACAATGTTCACTCTATGCCACTTACTGAACAGGTTTAACGATCCTGGGTGTGACCTTTTTGTTCTCAGGCTAAATGGCACCATCCCTAACCCAGGCCCACACTGCTCATTGTTATCTGGACACCGAGCAGTAAATCCAATGCACTGACTCTGGGGACAGCTATTTCTTGTACTCTATCATCACAGCTGGTTGCCTTATTTTTTTAAGATGCAGCAAGAAGACACCAGACATTCTCTTTTCCATGACTTCATGCTGATAATCTGCTCTAATTTTCATTTCACAAGATATGTATTGAAGGAATGAAGGTGGACTCACAGCTTCCTCTCGCTGTACAATGGCATTAGGATCCATCTAGCATATAGTACTATATCTTACAAAATGTAAAAATGATTTTTATCTCTTGCTACATTATTCTTGCAGAACTTTCCATTGTTTAACCAGCTTTTCAAAGAAATGTAATTAGACTTTTCGATCACTCTCACTGATTTCTAACCATTCTTAAATGTTATATTCTTTGTGCATGATTTGGTCTTGGAGACATTCTTCTGTAATTGTGTTATTGTTTCAATAACATATACAATTTAAAGATTAACCATGCCTTTGATATAAATTTTCAAGTGAAAAAACTGTGAAGTCCCTATAAAAGGAGATTTCCAGTGAAAGGCCAGGTTAGTCACACCACAGAGTCCCAGAACGGCTCCTGGATCAAAAGTACGGGCAGGATGCAAAACAGATGGAAATAAAAAAACCAGGCAACTGGATTGGTCTCTATTCAGAGATTTATCCCTTATTTCTTACCCTTCCCACCTAAACAGATACAGTTTATCCAGTGGAGGAGCTGGAGTGCTTCCACGCACAAAGGGAGGACTGCTCCCTGGAGGCAAGCAGAAAATGTCCTAGGACTTACTCAAGCTAACCACCCCAAATCAGGAAACTGGAAAAGTCCTCTCTGGAGAGGTTCAAGACACTATTGGCAATTCCCTCAAGAAAGGAGAAGACTGTATGACACCAACATTGCTCAGGGAAGCAGAGCAGGAGCCACAGGGTGCCATCTGGCCTTTCATTCCCAAGCTCTTTAGGCATCATCATTGGCTAAGGATCACCAACAACTTGGGGGAAGCCTGGAAGATGACAGGCAGACCAAGAGGGAGAAAAGTCTCTTCAAGGAAACCAGGCACTGCAGAAGGGGAAATAAACACATAACCCTGTAACTAATTCCTTCAGAGAGGCAAGAAAAAAGATACTATATACATAAAACAAGAACAGGATGCAGCAGAAAGCTGAACCAGAAAAGAAAAAATTTTTGAAGTTAAAATGAAAAAAGTTAACAGAAATATTTGAAGATAAAATTAACAAAAGAATAAAAAACATTAAGAAAACAGAAAAACAGAAAGTTACATGATCAGTCTAGATCCTACATTTGCTTAAGAGAAAGAGCACAGATTATAGAAGAGGAAAATTATAGTACAAGAAAACTTCCCAAGTGACAGGATATTTAATGCCCAACATTCACTAACAATGACTTAATAAGATGTAACACTACCGGGGAGAATCAAGATAGTGGAATAAGGTAAGGACACGTTTAAACAGAGAAATATTAGCCGGTGTGAAGCGCAGAGGGTACATTCCAGCAAATAGGAGAGGACAGACAGAACAACAGCAGAGAGTACCTGGAGACTGACAGACACAGGAATGCAGCAAAAACAACGGAGCAGTGTTGCAGTGACTGATAATCCAGTAGCATTCAGCAAGTGGTAATCTGAACTCCACCTGCAACAGGTGGGAAGGTCCAGAGGTGGGAGCTATCTATTCAGCTATCTATTCATGGGAGCTCCAGAGGTGAACCCAGACAAAGAACTGCCCATCCTGTTGGTCTATTTGATTTGACCAGGAGCAGAGACAGAGCAGCAGATCCCAGACCGACAGTGTGGGAACAGGGTAGATTTCACAGCCCTGTCTGCTCCCTAGAGCCATATCAGGTGCCATTTTGTTTAAGGAGGCAAGGGCTATGAGGCAGGACTGCATATGCACTAATCTGCAAGTAAATTCATTTCTGACTCAGTGAACTGCAACAAGATGGCATGCTACAGCTTCCACCCAAGACAGGTCCAGGTAGCCTTCAGACCTGACAGCCAGCAGATCAAGAACTCCAGTAATGGCATATCAGGCTCCATTTCCTATGATGTGGCAAAGAATTTTAGACTGTAGGGGACAACGGTGAGCTGTGCATGTACTGAGCTTGGCGAGAACTGAATCAGTGGAATGCACTGATTCCACATAGGAAAATAATAGCGATAATGGCATTGTACCAGTCAAAATAGGTCTGTGTAGCCCTCAGATCTAACAGCCAACAGGTTCTGGCAAAATCAGAACCAATAATAACCTAGTTATATAGGGCACCTAGTGTCTCCCTAATCCTGGGATCTACTCCAACCGGAAGTGGGAGAAAGGTTGTACAGACAACAGTGCAGCCTCAGCACGGTATCATAGGAGGTGGAGACTGGTGAGTCAGGAGCTGGGGCTGCAGAGACCACGGTGGAAATCTAACATAAGAACCCAGACCTAGAACTTGCTGGAGAGTGGCACAAGTGATTGAGAACAAAGAGCCGTGTGCCAACTGCAGTAAGTAAAATCAAACTGTAGACCAGTGGGTGACACAGCTTGGACACCTGCCTCAAGGAAAAGAGTCTGATAACCAGAGGTACAACGACCAAAAGCAAAAGAAGAGACAGAGGCACATTGAATATTACTGAAGACTCCCTTGCAAAGAAACAAAGCCCTTTGCCAATTTCAAAGTTGACTGAGGGAGACACTGAGAAAATGGGGGATTTCTAAAGCGACACGTTAGTCATTCAACAGTATGTTATCTAACTTCATGGTGTTGCAAGTTCCTATTTTTTTTCTTTCTATTGTTGATTTTGTTTTGTGGCTTTTCATTTAAGGGAATGTATAGTAACTGTGTAATGGAGACTATCATATCCAGTGGCATGTTGTTCAACTTCGTGGCATTGTAAATTTCTTTTTTTTTTTTCCTGTTGTTGGTTTTATTTTGTGGCCTTTCATTTGGAGGGATTTACAGTGACTGTGTAGTAGAGACTGACATGTCCAGATGTGAGGATACGGTACAGTGTGCATCTCTACTTCCAGATCAAAGATGGACTCCCAGTCAAACAGTTGGATGTGTCTTAACAATGGGATGTTGGACTCTCTGCCACTGTCCATGCCTGTAACAATGGACTTACGACTGATTATGAGGAATTATGCTGTTATAATGCTTTGGGGAGGTGGGAGGGAAATCCTAGGGCCTATGGAACTGTATCATAAAAT